GAGAGCCTGGCTTGTAGAGAGAATTAATTTTAAAAGAGCTCTGTGATATTTTAGAATTAGGAAGGAAGGGACTCCTGCTTTGATGATGTGAAAAATTTGCCCTGACACCCTTAATTGCTTAATATGTGATCAGTAATGTTACTGGCCATATGTTTCAGGATTTTTGAATACTCAGGGAGAATTCTTAATCATGTGGTTATGAAAACAACCAGTTTCTATAAGTGAAAATGAGCATGCTTATTAATGCCATTGCCTAGTGCATTCAGTCACATTTATAACTCCCAAGGAGAATGATTGTTTTGCATGATTTAGTGTTTACAAAATTACAGTCGCACGGCAAAGCTTACTGTATTTGAAGCATATGTGGTCCTTTTGCAGGTAATAAAATGGAAAATCCAATTTGCAATTGCAGAATAAGCCTCTGAGTGATATATGATCTTCATAGTAGCGTCGGTCAGAGGGTCATCGCTAATCACGGCGCTGGCTGGCTTCCCCTGTGGCCGGGCCATCCCGCTGAAGAGTGCGCAGGGGGAATCTCTGTTTGGGAGGCAGCCAGCGTGGCTGTAGATGCACCACTTTCTAGCTTATTAGATCCTCTTTGTCACAGTGCTTAATCCTGCTGCCTGATCCTTGTTAGAACAGCGCCGGAGCGCCGCTCAGGCTTCTAATAAAGGAGATGGGTGAGGGCTCCTAACTAGACGCGCTGAAGCGTGCAGCCGTTCGGGCGATTGCAGCCCGACTGACAGTGGGGTGAGATGCTTCCTGCATGTTATTACTTGAAAGGGAACTTACCTCCGACAGCTGACAGATGAGCTTTGCTGAGGCAAGGGTAACTTGTTGCTAGGCCAATATGAGACGGGTGTCATCTTTTCACACAGTATAATGGTCTAGCTTTACTCTAATTATATTAACCCTCTTCTGAAATGGCTGCATTCCAGGCTGGTGCTGAGTGAGGCAGGAAAGCCAGAGACAGATAGCTGGCTGGGAGGATTACGGCTGCACAGAAGCAGGTATTGTGTTCTCCACCAGTGACATTAAGTGGAAAAACAAAATAAGCATGCCCTATTACGGCAAGCCGGTGATAACTCTGAAGAGGCAGCGCTTGGTTAGGCTCACACGGTTTCCATCTCTGTCATCGGGAATAGTCTGCTTCAAGGTTTGCTATGGACATTAAACATGGTTTTCATGGCTCTTTGTTAAAAAGAAAACACTGTCAACGACAAAGCTATTGTTTTGGGGTTTTTTCTTCCCCCAGTGAACCTGAATCATTCTTTTCCATTAGGCTCCCTATTTCTGGTCACTGTGAGAAACCCCTGTGAATGTGATTATGTAGCATTGTTTGAGACTAAACTAAACAGCTGGAGTTACAGATGCGTTGGAAGTGATGCCATTGAAAATGCTCATGAAGAGCCTGTGGGTCTCTCTGTGTACCCTGACTTTTCAGACATCAGTATAAGACTCCTTTTGCCTGAAGGGAGTGTGTCCAGCTCGCATCCAGCGTTTCCCGCCTGCTCCAGGAGTTAGCAGGAGTCATTAGCAACCCCTACGCCTCCTCTGTCTCCATTGACAGCTCTTTAATAGAGACATTGCTAGGGATTGACAGATCTCCGGGGGTTAGAGGCGTCAGACAAAAGGGCCCCAAGATCGTGGCTGACCTTTCTTGGCATTATTCCCCTAGCTCTATCTTCCATGTGTTGCAATCAGGTAGCATAGAATTGAGTACATCATTTTTAGAGGATTATTACTCAAAAGGCTGCAGGCTTAGTCAGACACTGTTAATAAGTTAACAAGAGGCCGTGTACATTCCAAAGTGGGTATGTAGGTAGTTGGTAGAATGCAGGCTCTTCTTTTCCATAGGAATATGCACCTGTACCTTAAATTCAAGGGTAATTAAAACCTGCATCGCTCATAACAGCTGTACTTTTGGATTATTGGGCCTGAGTGGGAAAGAAGAGTCCTCTTTCTCTCTCTCACCGTCTGTCCCCTGGAAGTCATCCCTGGACAGATGTGGACCAGCTGAGGCTTGTCTGTAGGGTCCTTCCCAGAGTGTTTCCCTGGTCCTGTTGCTCTCAGCAGAGCCAGGACCCTGAATATGCAGCATGGTGAGGAATGCTCTGTGTTCCAAATGTAGCTGTCTTCCCTCTTTCCTCTCTTCTTCCCCAGAGTAAAACAATCCGATTCCCGTGTCCCCATCTGAAATAGATGTTAAGAGGAAAGCCATCCATTTGGGTTAATTCATGGTAATGTGTGAATGATGCGAGTCCCAGATGCATGTGCAGCTGATCCGATTCTACCTATTGGAAATTTAGACTGTGTTTCTCATTAGGATGACTTACTTTGGGGAGTAAGGGGTAAAGGTGTTTAGGTCACAGGTAGTCACCAACAAGGAGATCCTCTTTGCTTAGGAATTAGTTAATTTCTTTATGCAATTTATGCTTTTCATGGCCTCTTTTCTTTTTTCACTTTGAATTGCATATATTTTCCCAAAGGTCTTAGTAATTTTTCATAGTTGATTCCATGCTGATGTCAGTGAGCAGGGTTTAGAAGCAGAAAGATGATCATATGTAAGCATAAGTTGTTAATTAGATGAATGTTTTAAGAGAGCTGTGCTCATCTCTAGAGCCTCCTCGCCCAACTTATTAGTGAATTGCTGCAGCGCACTTACTGTCACCTGGTACACAGCCCTCCTCAGTGACCATGCTTCCTGAGAAGAGTGGGCAACATAGACACTGTGCATGTAAAACAGGACACTTTAGAAAGAGTCTTATTTTTTAAATGGAAGACTTTTCCAGAAATTTCTATTATATTCATTTTTAGGAAAAGTGGAAATGGGAAAAAAAAAAAAAGAATAGGAGAATGAATGATATGGAAGAGAGGACATAGACTATAGCAATTAAGATCCAAGAGGAAATAAGAATTATACAGAAATTTAAGCAGATCGGTTTTATTCTAAAAACCCCCTCCCCAAGTAAAGATAAAAACTAAAAAGATAAAAGGCAAGGTCACACTCAGGTAAGATACCCAACTAAACAGACTCAGTGCAACTCTTGGATTTTCATTTGCCCTAGGCAGTTTTCTGATTCATGGTTTAGAGAATAAAGCCCATTAATCTTCCAAATGATTAAATATCTGACTAATGATGTTTAACCATTAAGATGAGGAAATTGACATTATTGACAATCTTGGAGAGAAATGTATCTGCTTATTTTTGTACTTAACACCAACAGATTCTAAGTAGCTTTGGAAACATCATAATGAATTGCTCCCTCTTGATATTTAGTAGTATCTATTTTCTTTAAAAGCATTTTATGAAATTATAATCACTTTTATATTGGTCTTTTCTTTCTCCATTTTTTGAATAGTTACAAGTTCATATAACAAAAAGAATATGGATTCAAAGAATCAGTTCTTTTGTTTTAAGGAGAACTACATTATCATCCTCATAAAAATATTAATTTGTTTTCATTTCTAAAGGTCAGATCGCCTAGGAAATTTTGTGCTTCATGGTATACTTGCATCCTACAATGTGTTTTCGTTATTCTGAATTATCAAAATTATAACAAAGTTATGACAAAATTTGCAGTAGTACCCCTAAAATAGGACAAATAATGTTACTTTGGTTGTGTCCTGGGAAGAATAATTGCTGGATATCTGTGTTTAAAAAGCCTTAGACTGTGGATCAGGAGTCTGAAAAAGACTTGCTCAGTAGGACTTTTAGGGAAAGGCCTTTGGTGAGGCTTGTGTCAAGTAAAACCACATATATCTCTGCTGCTTGGCTTCTCTCTCCTTGTCCCTTTCATAAGCAGGCAAGTTATCGGAAGCTCTTTCACACACTGCCTTTTCCATGGTTCAATATACCAATAAATAAGTAAAATAGTCGACTGATCATCAACAGATGGTGGCACTTACTGGCTTTTTGATGCTACTTCATTAACTCATCTTTGGTTGATCTAGACCAGTGATGGCGAACCTATGACACGCGTGTCAGAGGTGACATGCGAACTCATTTTTTTGATTGATTTTTCTTTGTTACATGGCATTTAAATATATAAAATAAATATCAAAAATATAAGTCTTTGTTTTACTATGGTTGCAAATATCAAAAAATTTCTATATGTGACACGACACCAGAGTTAAGTTAGGGTTTTTCAAAATGCTGACACGCCGAGCTCAAAAGGTTCGCCATCACTGATCTAGACTGATGTAACCTGATAGTTTCACCAGACTTTATAGAAAGAATATGAGATTTGGAGTCAGGAGTCAGGTTCACATCCCAACTGTCATTTTCTGATCTTGTTACACAATTTCCCCACGTTTCTATTTATTCACCTGTAAAGTGATGTTAATAAGTGGACTCAGGGATTGCTGGCGAATCAAATGAGGAGATGCTTTGAATGTGTACACTGATGAGGACTATTCAAATGTGAGTTTCTGTCATAACCATGTTAACGAAATCCATTTGGTGCTGATTGTGAGATGTTCTTATGGTACCTGAGAAATGTAATAATAATTTTACTTGGGCAATAGTTTTATCTCTCTTCATTCATATTGTTCTTTGGCTGATGAAAAATGGTGATGTTGATCGGATGGGTCTAGATCAGATTGAACAAGCAGTGATTCACATTGTCAAGACAGAATTTCAGGAGGTTCTCATAGCACTTCTCTTCATTTTGGATGGGGTCATTTTAGTCTCTGTAGCAAATACCTAGGAAAAATAAAGCATATACTACCTATGTGAGAATTCCTTCCAGGTTTACCTTCTTCCTACTTCCTTCCCTCCACTCCCTTTCTCCCTCCTTCTTTCCTTTGTTCTTCATTTCTTGGTCTATGGTACTAATTACTTGTGTATCAGTGATGACTTGGGGTAAGAAATTTTTAAAAATAAATCAAGTGAACCAAAAGGTACTTAGGATTGTGCTATGGTTACTGCGCAGGACTTCTTAGTCCTGATCCCTGTAGGATGAAAGGACCTTCATCTTTTTCTTCTCCATCTTTTTCAGGAAACTTGGATCTGACTGGTCAGAAGCAGGTATTCAAAGCAGAGAACAATCCTTGGGTTACCCCAATTGCTGACCAGTTCCAACTTGGCGTGTCCCACGTTTTTGAATATATCCGTTCAGAGACATATAAGTAGTAAGTAGACTGGTTGTTTTCCAAAGTAGTACACTGTGGTTTTATAGTATTTGTAATTATGTCATTTTAAGACTATCATGTGACATTGTCGTCTTGGTGGCAGTTAGTTCGTAGCATTTTTACATGTTTTATTAATAACCACATGTAGTAATTATCTTGTAGTGATAAGATTATTTTAATTGATTTTATCAAAGGGAATTTATACCAAGTTTGTTTAGAAAATTTGTTATTAGTTGAATATTCATGACACTAAGGAAATTGGTCAGACACATTAAGATCAAAACATACTTTTTTTTCTCCTTTGAATGCAAAGAATAACAGCTATTATGAACAAAATTGTTAAGCAGTTTGTTTATAACTGAGTAGAGAATACTAGAACACACCATTCTATTCTAGAGAAGCTTCCACTCTGGTGAGATGGTATTATCTCTAAGAGAAAAAGGAAGGAAGAGCAGAAAAAGGAGGAGGAGTCAGCTAGCTCAAGTAACAGCATCAGAATCCCTCAACTCTTCACCTCAGGTCAAAGGAGATTGTGAGGAGCCCGCCCTAAAACCCGGCTGGTTTTACCTTCCTTCCCCAGTGTGTCCTGGTTGGAAGGAACTCTCTTGGCCCCATCTGCTCTGTTACATCTTCTGTCATTATTTCCCCTCATCCCACCTCCACCCCATATTGAGATAATCATTTATCTTATGCTTCAGTGGCCCCCTAATACTGAAGTCTAGTCACCTCTAGTTTTAAGCAAATGCAAAAGACATAAAAATCCATAGTCAAATTTAATCTGTTTTGAGTTTGTTACCAACATTTGAGAATTTAACATTCCAAATATTAGAGAAAAATTAGAGGATCATTGAAGGTCACGTTCAGGTGGGAGTCTCTTTTTTTTTATTTTGTATAAGAAAAATGCCCCACACTCAGTGTGGACCACGGGGCAGTGCTGACTGACAGGGCAGGCTCCCTGTTTATAAATGGCCAGCTGTGGTCCTGCAGCCTCTTCCCCGGACACCATGCTCCTGGTCACATAAGCCAGGGTTTAGTTCACTCATATTTCCTATGTGACAGAATCACAGAGAAGATGAGCTCTAAAGAACAATGACATTAAAACTAAATAGACTAAAATTGCCCAAATGATAGCATATCTTCATATATGGAAGAAGCTTAAATCATGGTTTAGATTTTTTATGACATTGACAATATATTTTAAGACTTACCATTAGAGTAAAATGAGAGAAGTATAGGATGTGTGTTATGTTTCACAAGCCACAAGTTATGTGTAATATATAGATATATAGTTTCTTTAAATATGAATATAGCTCATCCTTGGAAATTGGTTTAATTAGTTATGAAAATGTGTGAAAATGTAATTGCAAATTTGAAGATTATTGTTCATTTTATTCCTCTTAAATTGTTAATCATTGCCATCATTGGTTTGAGGTAGAGGTTTAATTTTTGTTAGTAAATGGGAGTCTACTTCTAATTGGTTTGTAGGGAATCGTTTTAGAAAATCATTATATATATTTTAACTTATAACAAAGTACACAAATGAGCTCCTGTTAAACCAGAATTGGGGGAAATACTGTTTATTATTTTGGTTAACCATTTTTTTTTATTTTACCGTACTTTAATTTATAATTTACAGAGAATTAAAATATATTGCACATAAAATGCATCTAATTTCATTTTAAAAGATTAAGTTGTGAATTTGTTAATTTTATATTACCTCAGTCATTATTGGGCAATTAGTCACTATTAGATGACTAATTCTATTTATTGATGATGGTTAGGATTCTGGATGAATGAGAGGCATGTTTCTTTGATTGAGTTCATTGGTATGTTATTTGACAGGGACTATATGACACAGCATTTTAATCAATAACCAGTTTGATGTATGTATATTCTTATCTCTATTATTGGTATCCTATATTTGGGAATTGGAGTCATCTAAGCAATTTGCCTATTAGCATGCCTTTCTGTATTTGATTTCCTCATGAAGAATTATATTATCTTTTATACAGTTAAATCTGTATTAAAAAGCTTAAATAAGCTTAGGAGAGTCATTGTCCCATTTTTAGGAGGACCAGTTTGTACCCCACTCACTGCTTTTAGAGGAGTCTGTGAGCCTCTGCTGGGAGAAAGCACTTGTGGTGAACTCAAGGGCTGGTCTTTGGAGCCCTGAGAGATCATCTCTTCTCTCCTGGGGAAGGAGAATGTTGACCACTTCCTACCACTTCCTGCATTTCAGCCCTTCTGTTCTTCACCCATTCTTCCGTAGTTATCTTCACTCCTTTATCAAATGTACCAGCCAGACACGTGGACTAGTAACTAAGACACTAATCAGAATCTTAGTCTTTTAAAAATACTTGTATAAAAATACCACCATTATGTTTCCCCGATTTTTTAATTTAAGCTCGTCTTTTATATGAATATAGTATGTATACAGCTATTAATGTATATTAATTACATTGATTTTTAAAATTCAAGTTTTTTTAAATAAATAAAAAAAGTGTATTGTCATGTAACTAGAACCCCACTGAACTTTTTAATGTTCTTAAGCAGCCACTTCATAATTAGAGGACTTTTAGTATCCTTTTCAACTATCTGAAAAAAATATTATGTAATTATCAGGTACTTGGCTACTTTTTAAAAGTTGTACTTATAGTGACCTTCAAAAAGGCAATGTATTCATTATACTCATAATTTTTTTTAAAAAAAAGCAAATTTTACATTCAGTACCTTAGTCATAACTCTAGTCTAAACCTTGTGGTTTCCAATCTTCACTCCTTTGTCTTTATAAAACCATAAACACCTCCATCCAATAGAATTTCCTTTTTTTTATTATGTAGATCTTCAGATTATATGATAGCATATTTTAAATTTTGTCTGGGCACTGAAAATACTAGTGAATCTCCTTCCTTTAAAAAAAATTTTGTTCAGCCGAAACCGGTTTGGCTCAGTGGATAGAGGGTCGGCCTGCGGACTGAAAGGTCCCAGGTTCGATTCCGGTCAAGGGCATGTACCTGGGTTGCGGGCACATCCCCAGTGGGAGATGTGCAGGAGGCAGCTGATCGATGTTTCTCTCTCATCGATGTTTCTAACTCTCTATCTCTCTCCCTTCCCCTCTGTAAAAAAACAA